TTTTTACTTGTAATTTAAGTTATATATAATTATCTAGTTCGTCCCCAAATAATTCTAATTAAATAGCCGCAAATATCTAAAAAACTTTCAAGTATCAGAGGAGATTTACTAACTTCCATATTCTTGTATCTAGATGCCGCTAATGGGAACACGACCACAAATCCTCAACAGCAGTCGAATCCACCGACGAATAACAATACCAGCAACAACAAGGACACTCTAAATAACAACAATGTTAATAACAGCAGCAGTAACAATTGCAACAATCAAACTAATACAAACAATAGCAATAATAGTCAAGCAACCAATCCCGACATGATATCGCCCACAATAATGGCCAAGTTTTTGGAGGACGAACTGAAGGCGAATGAGGTGAAACACTGCGATACGTGTCAGTGCAGCAAACAGGACCTGCAGGTCCTGGCGGATGTGTCTCGTTCCTATTCGGTGGCCACCCAAACGCCCCATCAGTTGCAGCTCCAAGGATCGGGATTGAATGAACCACTGACCCAGCTTTGTCTGAGATGTCATAGCAATCTAAACTCCCCGTCGCGAACCAACAGTCCATATCTGATGAAGCTGGTCAAGTCCAGTGACTCCGTAATATCGGAGACCAAGAGTTCCGTTTCGGATCTGAACGACATGGACAAGCTGTTTGTGCCGGCCAAAAAGGATGACCTCATGGTGAATCCCATACTGGGACATCATCGACTCTGCGAAAGAACTGCGCTTTCGGGTCAGAATACGGAGTACGGCAATGGAAAGCTGACCACCTCCACGATGATGTATCCCACCACTCATTTGGGTGCCTATGCAGCGGAAAAGTATCTGCTGGAGACGAGCAATCTGGGCCAGCTGCGGAGTGGGTATCAAAGGAGATTCCTGGATGGCGGTGGAACTGCCCTGCAACTGCTAAGCAAATATGAAGCAGGTGCCGTGGGCGTAGGCCATGGCGATCTGGAGGATGAGTCCAGTAAGCCTCTGCTGTCGGGTGTCTCGCAACCAAGTCTGCTGGAATCGGAGCAAGCTCCTCCTCCGCAATTGGTGGTTCCTGCCAAGCTGGAGGATGTCTGCGAGCCACAGCCTAGTAAACCAGTGGCTCCAGTGGCTCCACCAGGAAGTACTACACCCGCTGCCCCACCATCGGGCACTCAGTTGAAGTCCACGAACTCCGGAAGCGTCCAGAGCCTGTGGAGCAACAAAACCAGCAGTTGCGAGGGGGCCAAAATGTTCGAGACTTTCAACAGGAATCTCATTAAAACGATCAAGGTATAATGCAGCCGATGGAAGGCACATTTGAATATTTAAATATTTTTATAGTATTTAGTTACTAATGTGTTGATTTCGTTCCCTCAGGCGGAGAATCCCAAGTACCGCGGTCCGCGTCTGTGTGCCATGCGAATACAGCAAAATGGCCAGAGCAACATCCTGCTGGACAATCTGGAGTCCATAGAGACCTACACCCCGGTGATCTACAAGCGACGAGAAAAGCTCCTGGACGAGGAGCTCAACGATGGCAAGGACATTATCACCAGCAAGGAGAGCAATGCCCAGTCGGTGGTGGAAGCCTGGCAAGGATCAGCAGCTCCCCACGAGAATGTCGCCCTTCAGCCAGTGCTCGAGCCCCAAGTGGAAACTGCCGAGCTGGAGCCAGTGGAGACCAAGCCCAGCGAACAGACCACAAATCCTGGTGTGAACTCACCCAAACACTCGGCCAACTCCAGTTCCATTAGCGATGCCATCGACTACCAGGAAAGTGTCCTTCTCAGGCGCCAGCAACTCAGCAGAGTGGCTGAATGGGTGCAGCATAATACGCAGCAGCTGGAGCAAAGAAATCTGCAGCAGGCGCCGCCAGCCAGTGATTCCAACTCCGGAACCGAAAGACAATCCTCGTACTCCACGCTGGACCGCATGGACTCCATATCCATCGAGAAGCTCTCGATGGACTCCGGTTACAAGACCACGCCGCAACAGCTAACCAACGGCTATCCGGAAAAATCAACGGAGGACTCGCTCTCGCCCAAGACAGATATCACCAGCAATTCCTTGCCAGAGAATCCGCCGGGTACCGCTGTGCCGCCCAAGAAAACGGAGATGTGCACCACCTACTACCGGAGGACAAGCAGATCGGGACTACCAGTGGCATATACCACGGTTGCAGGTGGGCCACCTGCCGACTCGAGTCCACCCGCTGAGTCCGCGTCCTCCGGTTCTGAGGCCCTCATCTGCCCCGAACAGCCCACGTGTGATATACTCAACTACAAATACTATCCCAATGACACGGATAAGACGCGATCCGTGCAAGCGGAGCTGCACACGACCACCCAGAACGTGGACATTGCCCAGATGGAGTACAATGTGAAGCAGTTCCTCCTCAAGCAAAACGAGTGGTCCATGCATGGAGGAGCATCTGGTGCGAGTGCCGGGGCGGTGCTACCAGGATCTGGAGCAGCGCGCCTGCTGCAGCGCAGGATCTTGGGTCCTGGCGTGGGTGAGCGGGTCAGGATGGCCACTCCCGGCGGCGCTGTGGCCACCAAGACCAGCACCCAGTCATCCAACAACCTGACGCCCCACAGAACTGAAACGAATTTATAAGCAAACGGGGTCGACGAGTGCGCCACACATCCAAAGAGTAAACCAAACTGTATTCTAGCCTAGTTTTGCTACTTTTAGTTCGTACTCCGCGGTCTATATAGCTACGATATAGCAGCGCTTAAGTTGGGTGACACAAGACGTGCTAATAGCAATGATACTATACATATGTACGATAAATGTAATACTTACACCACAATCTACAATCTAAGCTAGCTAAAGTTGCTTTGCAGCCATCACTAAGCTAATAAGTTGGCTATAAAGGGCGCACAAATATCTGAGGCGTTGGTTAAGATAGTTCCCATATGCGTTTCTGTTCCAAACCTACTGATCTATATCATTTGAGCACCTGCTACACATCTATATTATATGCTACCCTTTGAAGTCTTCCTTTACTTTACAATTTACACTTTATTTGTCTGCTTTCTTAAGCTGTCTTCCTGTAGGATCCACTTTCGTGTAAAACCAACGCTGGAAATCTGAGGCCCAACAGCAACTGCAGCTGAAATCAAAAGCAAATCTAAGACATATGATATGGTCACCCCTAACGATATAACCGAAAATTATATACAAACTAAAATTGCGTAACTTTTTGATGTCTGCATGTTAATGTAAACCACGAGAATTCGCAAACTTGCCCAAGCAAACTTAGGTTACACTGGAAATATATATTATATTTATAGGAGTATACAGATAATTATGCTATATACGATTTATATTTGATAAGCGCGTTATATTTTCTAGATTCCGATTGTGCAATATTTTTTGGTAGTGTGAGAAACGAAAACGATTTTTATTTTTATAAAATGCGACCAAAAACCGAGGTGAGAGTTTTCTGACTTTTCATTTATATTTTCTATTCGAGCATTTTGTCCAGCCGCAGAAGCTTAGCGCTATTATCAAACCAGATCTGTCTATCGAAGATATATACAAGTATTGTACCTTTTTGCCCGAAAAACTGTACTCATTCCTGCCCATTAGATGACCTTCATATAGAGAACTGTAATCCTCTGCTAAGCTGCTAAATCAAAGATATATTAGCCCCGCTATATACACGTACACCCAAGCCAGAATCATAATCAGAATCAGAATCAGAAACGTACACGGACTCATTGCATTATAAACGTATCTGAACAGACATATGAGTGTAGTACCCACATATATTTACATCTATATATACATAAACATATATGCATATATATATATTCATCTTATACGTGTATACCCGACCCACAAGAACACAACAACAACCAACAACAACAACAAAAACAACAACCAAAAGAACATTCAACGGCTTCAGAAGAAGAAACCCAAAAAGAAACTTTTCTATGTACTACCCATCTCCACATGAATCGAAATTATATTGAACACGATGATATTTACTCGATATTTACACCCATGTACGGCTGCTATCTGTATCTCTATATCTCGATTACTTTACCATGTATACACTGAGCGAAATGCTTAAATGGAAATGCTTTAAGACACTGTTATGTTTGGCCTACTTATGTAAACGTCTAATTAGCATAAATTCAACTCGCACAGGGAGCGAAAAGTCCCTACTAATATTGCTTACTACGAATCAAGGGATCCAGCTCTATAGCTCTATAGCTCTATAGATCCTCAGCCTGTTATGCACTTTATCCTACGATACTAACGAAAAATCAAAAATCTCTTACTAAGTTCATGTACCAATCTCGAAAAAGACTTAACTTGGATAAGAAACTAAACCATTTCCGATAATCACCAACTTTCTCTTGCTCCCTCACCTGTAACTCACTGCTCAACGATCCAGTTTTCCAGCATTATAAGGTATATATCAAAATCTCATTAAAACAATAGAACACTGCCCCAAGTCCCAGTCACTGCCCCGTTTCCCCCTCTACCCGCGAAAACCCAAAAGTAACTTTAAGTAGTATCATTCTTCAGCTCAAGAAATCACAAACAAAACCCCAAAAACTTTACGTAAGGCAGCCCAATTAAGTAAAACCCGAAAACGTAGCTAAAGAATAACTAATACATAAAGCAAATCGAAAAAATTGAAATGGAATTTCAGCAAAAAAATCGAAATATATAAAAACTAGCTTAAATATTTGGGCATAAGTTCAACTCCAGCTGCGACATCTAGTTTAAATTGGAAGCCTTTGTTCTATCGCCTAGGTTCGAAACATTTCAGATAATTAGCCTTATATAAATGTGTACATTTACTGCGCGTTTTGGTTGATGTAACCATTCTTGAGCTATTGAACCACCTTAATGTGAAACAAAAAACAAAGCAAAACAAGGACAACATTAAAATAATAAATCAAGAAAACAAGTGGAAATAATTCAAATAAATATGAGATAATTTTTGAATAAACTTCGCCTGTGTTTTTCACTTTCATGAGCCCATTCAAAAGCTGTATAAATATTATCAGTTGTTTGTTTTATTTAATGATTTTGTGTTCTCTCATTTGTATGTTTAAATTCCTGGGCTGTGTATGAAATAAATAATTTGTTGCGGTGCATGCACTTAGAAAACTAAAGAAGCATTTCCCTATCGAAAAATGTCGACGAAAATGGCGTCAGTCGGTTTGTGGGTTTGCCTAATGGAATCTCAACCCATTAGAGAGCCACTGCATCGGTGGCCACCGGATGATTGTGGACAGCGTTTCCGTCCTCGCCGGCATCGTCGTTGACCACAATAACCTCGTTGGAAGGCACTGCAGCGTCCTCGAAGGAGTCGTCAATGCTTTCGCCACTGGCGCGCAACTCATTTTCAGATTCCGGGGCGAATTCATCCTGGGCAGGATCGATTTTGTCATCGACGGCGGGTTTTTCGGGCGCTTGAGTGGCTGGAGCGGCAGCTGGGGCATTCTGGGGACGATTGCCACCGAGGAAGTTGATGATACCCTGCAGGGGATTACCACCTTGCTGGGCAGGCGGAGCAGCAGCCGTGGCATTGTTATTGCCACCAAACACATTGTTGACGAACTGCTGGATGGGACCTGGTGGACGCGGAGTGGTGGACACCGCCTGCTGCTGCTGGCCAGTCAAACTGGACAGGGTGTTCTGGAACTGGTTGCCCAAATTGCTGGCGAACTGCTGGATGCCCTGGAACGCCTGTGTGGTGGCATTGACGGCAGTCTGGGCCGCATTTTGCACCGCCTGTTGGGCGGAGGTGATGGCGGCCTGGGGATTCAGGAAGCCGGGCACCGTGGGAGCCGGAGTTGCTGGAGCCGCTGCAGCAGGAGCAGCCTCATCCGCCTGGGCTTGAGCTGGAGCTGCAGCGGCAGCGGCAGCGGCAGCTGGCTGCGGCTGGAACTGATTCAGGAATTGACCAATTGGAGAGTTCTGGATCAACTGCTGGACAAAGTTGCCCTGGGTGGTGCTCTGCTGGGTGGGCGTGGCCTGGGTGGCTTGGCGCACCTGAGGATGGGCGGCGTCCTGGTCAACCGACTGCACCTGGTCCTCCGGATTCGGGGAGAGCTCCACGGCAGGCACAATAGCGGCCTCTTCAGCTGGCAGAGATTTCAAAATATTCTGAGCAGGTTCCCCTTTGATTTCTGTAGTCTCCTGTTTGATTTCTGGCTGCTTGACTTCCTGAGGCTTCTCCTCAATTTCCAGGGAGCCTTTCTTGATCTCCGGGCGATTGAGCTCCTTTTGCTTTGTGACGCTTTCAACGACTGGCTCTAGTTCTTTAATCTCCTCAGTCTTAGACTTAATTTCTGGCTTATCCTCCCCATCGATGTGCCTCGCTTTTTCTTCCAGGCTAATTGGCTTCACTTCCTCCGGCTTAGCTTGCTCCTTGAGCTCCTCGTTGACCAAGGATAAAGCTGCTGGTGGCTGCTTATCCTGGACAATGGCCACAGGAACATCGATCGGCTCGTTGGGTAAATTCAGCACTCTGGCCTGGCTGATGGCCAGAAAAACGAGGATCAAGGCAACGGGCTTCATTCCTGCGACTTATTTTCTAAACCTCCTTGGATTTCAATCGATGCGTTCACTAGCGCCTCACGGCCGCAACTGTTTGAAATTTCTTTAGGCCCATCGCATTTTATACAAACCGACGGCTGCGCAGTCGCAGTTGACTTTGTTGGCGGACAAACCAGCATACAGGGCTAAAATGTGGGAAAGAGGTGGGGAAAAGTGGCAGTATCACTACCATCGACTTGGCCAATTCTTGCACTGAGTGTCATTGAACTGGACCAACTTGGTCTTGGTATCGGGAAGCCAAACCGTTTTGGCCACGAAGCTGCACTTGTAATTGGCCATCTTGTTGGGCCACGAAAAAGGGCTGGGACCATCATCGATCATGTTTGTTTTATCGGCTAAAGGTAGTGGTTTTACTCCGGGAATATGGCAGAAATAAGTTTATGCAAGTAATAAAATTTATGGTTTTCTGAAGTCCTTGTCGTAATGCTAATATTTCCTTGTTTGTTTAGGACTGCAGTTAGCCGAAAAGTACCTGGTTTTTCCAATATCTTGCTGGCTTACAACTGCAAGCTGTGTTTACTTTAAAATTCAGCTGGATTAAGGTAATCTTGGGTCATTTTTGAGGAGGATAAAAAATGTATTTGTAGCCTAAAAAAACTAAAGATCTATGAAAAGAAAAGTATCAAAATCTAATGCTGTGATTACAAAATCGCTTGCATTGATCAACTGTGCAGCGATTAGCTTCTATTTCAGTCTTTCCCCGATCATCGATTGCTGCATGCAACTGCCCCTTTTCCGCAGGTTTTCCACTTTTTCACTCTCGTTCCTTGTTGACTCGATTCCAGGCAGCGACATTTGATCAGCAGATTTTTCTGGTTTTCTTGTTTGGCTAAACGCTCCTACAAGAAACGCATTTGGCCCTATCGCTCGTTCTGCTCGCTGGATGGTGAATCTTAAGCTCTGTGGATCTGTGGCTCCTCTGCGGTCTTCGGTCTTCGGTCTGCGGTGGAAACCCGTTCCCCAGACGGACTTAAATGCAGACTCAAGATTCAGACGCAGACTGGTAGGAGAAACCTGCTCCGGCTATTTTTAGAGTCAATTAGCTTTGGACCGACTGTCTCTGCAGGGAAGATGCATCTCTGGGATGCGTTTTCCCCGGTTCTGGGTTAATAATTCATTAGAAATGCACAGAAACCGAACCAAAACGCCCACACGACCGGCTAACAATGGTCCAAATGTGTTCTATGCAAATGAGCCCATTTAAATGTAGTTAAATGGGTCAAGCGTTTGATGGAGAAAACGTTGCTGTGCATTGAAGGAAACTTATCTCCTGTCCACATGGGACTTTCATATAGCGATCGATCGATCCATTTCCAGCTCGATCGGTGCTCAGAACTCGTTCTTGGGCTCTTTTGGCCAACAAGAGGCCTGCAAACAGGCCAAACCTGCAAGGGCCAAGTCGATTTACAGCCAAAGGTAATAAAAAGAATACAATTCAAGTAGGAGCACAGACTATTAAAACAAGCTTTCAATACCCTTAAATAACTATAATCATATAGAGTGATGGCCTGAACAGTTTGATGTTAGATTTATATCATTTGATGTTTTGCATATTATTCATATTTATATTCAACAACCAGAACGTTAAGCTATTTATATTAATGTTCAAATGTATAACTCATTGACCGTCTATTTTAGTATGCTTTCTTTGAGGGCATCAAGAGAAATCAAAGATCGAAATGGATTGCAAAGGACATTGACTTGAAACTCTGGGATCTCGCAACTGATCTTCTGCAGATCTTTTATGACCCCAGCTTGTGGCTTTTAATTCTGCAACAAAATTGATTTCGGCAATGGAAAGAACACGTTTCCCCCCAAGTTACAAAAAACAAAACAAAAAAAATAAAACTCATTTCGGTTCTGTCGATTTTTATGGCTTTTCTTGGAGTTGGTTTATTGCCGCTTTTTTTGTCTGATCTCTGGCGCCCAAAAAATGTTGCTCGAGTTTCGGTTTCAGCTTTGATATTATGCAATTGTTAGCCGTACTCTTTTTTACACAATTGACTGTCGAATTAGCACCTCACTCACATCCAGCGACAGGTGACGATATTGCGGGCGGGGAGTGGGCGTGGCCGCAGCAACAACAAAACACATTACTCTAAACGGTGGCAACTTTCACTCAACAACCGTGCGGAATACTAAAAAAATCAAAAAATAAATAAACACCCATGCAAAGTGGGCGACAAAAACAGCAACAAAATGTACGAAACTGGGAGCGAGTGGGAGATTCAGGCGATCTTCGTCATCCGAAATTACCTCACTTATAAAATAAGCCGCTTGTTGTTGCCGTTTTTTCAATTGTCGAGATATTTGTGTCATATTTTGCTGTCAAGGTCACAGATTTTCGCCAAATTGTAAAAAACATCGATTTTGTCTTAGACAATGGTGGGTACTTGTAAAAATGTTTCTGCCAAGGTCACTTATCCCTTTTGGACCTTAACTAATGAATACGTTTCGAGTTTATTGCAGAAAGAAAAATTTTAAAAAAAGTAGATTTAAGAAACATTCTTTAAAAAAACATGTTCGTAAATGAGCGCTTTATTTAGTAATTCATATAATGTGGCATGCAAACTAAAACCAGAGGTCAGGTTTCTACATTAAAGTGATTTTTATTTACTTATAGTGGCAATCCACATTTCCTTGGCAAGCAAATAAAAAGTAAATTCAGTTACTTTTTTGTTTTGAAAACTCTGTTGGAAGGCTGCCAGAATGTTTTTCTGCTGAGTTTGACGTTACCGGATCTTTGAATTTTTGTGTACTGTTAGCCTCTCAAATTGTCTTGGTTTTATTAAATCGTTTGCTAGCTGCAGTTGTGTTTCAATCAAACGTTTTTTTTTTAATTGGTTATTTATTTAAATTCTTAGAATTGTAAGTGTTTTTGTAGAAATTTGAATGTTATTATTTAATTATGTTTTGCCTAACAGAATGCTGTTAGTTGCGTGCTGTTAAAAGCCAGCAGTATTTTCTGCAAAGGCATATGTTTCGGTATTTTTCAGCAGCGCCGCCTGGTATATTGGCGCTGACCGCCGCCTGGCCACACTGGCGATGTGGTGTGACCAAATTCGTGCTCGCTCCGCGAGTCGCCGTCAAAAAACTGTGAAATTACACATGAAACTAAACAAATAATCGCGTAAAATTAGCGAAAACATGTGCAGCGGTCGTTAGAAGAGTGCGGCAACCATACGGGCCAGTGAAAACGTGCAGGTGCGAGCGAGGAAACACGCGTACGCGTCACTGGCAACAACAACAAACACTCAGTGCACCAACACTCATAAACACACACTCACGTACACACGCACGGACTCGCGCGAACACGCGCGCACACATGCATAAACACCGACGCACATGCAACAAAAATAAAATAAAAACAAAAGAGCCAGCGAAAGAATAACACAAATAAATTTGATAAATTCAATTGTAAATTAAGGCAGCTGCAAGTGTGCAAGAAAATGTGCTAAGCAAAAATATCAAATAGTAAGTCGTGCCCACTTAAGTGAACCGAAAGTAGAGAAGCAGAAGAGTGGCCAAAATATCAATATATAGATTTGATATTTAAAAGCAACGAAAGTTAACATGCAGTAAACTTAAACGATGGACAATTGAAGCAAAATAGCACCACAGTTGAATAAATACGTAAATAAAATTCAACAAATAAAATGCAAAATATCGTTTCTGACCAATAAGATAACCAAACAACCACTGCTTTTAATTTATTTTTAATTTTGTGTACTTCCTGGTTACGAAATACCCTGCAGCCCCTCCCCACCTATCCTCCCGCTGATTAACAAATTTCGCGTTTTTCCCCCCTTATCAGCTGACTTACGCATACTAATCCCACCCAGTTGCCACCCCTGCTTCTTGCACCTGTAAGGAACAGGTGACTAATGCACTGCTCGCGAAGTTTGTCAGCTGCTGGCGCTGTGGATGCAACAACAACAAAACTAACGACATCCGCATCGGCAACAACAACATCGGCTTTCTACAGAGCTGCGACGTCGGCGTCGGCAGAGGCCTCTGTCTGCACAACACCAGCGACAACAAAATCAAAAACCAAAACTATGGCCACCACCACAACAACAACAACAACGGGAGCAACAAATGCTAAAGATGGTAAGTTATAGATAGTTATAAGCTAAAGGGATCCATGGAATTCGTTGGTGACCCCGAACCCTTTAAAACTGCCCAACTGCATCTGCATTTTTTTGACTTGTACAACCCAAGCTGTTTCTAAACATATCTTAGGATCCACGTAATTAGTGAATTATTATACAAAAATAAAAAACAGAATACGGTGACCTACAAAAAACCGAGGCACAAATGCAAAGGTGCACATACAAACGACAAGTCGGTTAAAGTTCAAGGCAAACGAACAATTTAAATTGCAGGCCAATGCCACTCTGTGTAATTAAACTAAAGTTAGTTGGTCAGGCTAGAGATTAGTATAACCTCTGCCTAAAAAGACAGACATTCAAAGGCAATTAAAGTAATAATAGCTTTTAAGAAGAAGTACAAAACTAAGGAAAGAAACAATAGTTGCAACAGACATTTACTTTAAAATTAAACTCAGCCTTAGGAAGTTTTTCATAGAGGTTCTTATATCTTTAAAAACTAAAATTCCATAATTCGGACGCTTATCTGTACTTTGCCAAAGACTTCCACATTTGTTTGCCTGGTACACAAGGCTGTAATCCTAATCCCTCAAAGCTTAATCTTTTGTTTTGTATTCCGGGATCCGGACAAAAAAAAAAAACTGAAACAAAAATCCCCACCAACGCAGCATTTTGCCCCTCTGACGTAACTTGTTGAGCAACCACGATTGCGATTGCTGGCAGATTTTTTTTTGGACTTCTTCTTGGGAGGAAAGAAAAGTTTTTATTAATATCAATAACCAAAAGAGCGAAGCGAGGGCAACAAATAAGGCAAGAAATAAATTAATGAATGCCACTGGCCGAGGGGAATGAATTTCATCAGAAGGCAAAGCGCAAAGCAGCAAAAGCAAAACAAACCATAACCAGCTTAACAACGATAATTAAGAAGTGCCGGCCAGTAAAACCAAAAAAAAGTGTAAAAAATTACATACGGAATTTAATTGCCAAGGCGGAAAATGGTATCATGATGGGGGGAGGGGGCAGGAAGGGGGATGGGGCCATGGCGAAGGTCAGCTGGAGGCCTGAAGGTCATAGGCATTTTGAACGTTGTCGTCACCTCTTGAACCCGCTCGAATTTATTGATTTTGCACGCAGCAGCCGCAAGAAAGAGAGGAATAATCATAAAAAACAACGGCAGCTACAACATCATGCATATTTCTCTTTGCCCGATGTTTCACTTCACCTTTAACAGTGTTCATCGGGTAAGGCGAACGATTGGGATGCTTCAGGAAGAGTACTTTTCAAAAAACGAAAAGACTTAAAAACTAACAGTCGCATGCCCTTTAGCTGAGTAACGGGTATGCGCTAGTCGAGCCCTCGAGTTACATCCCTTCCGCTGCTCCGCTGATTCGCTGTTCCGCTTCCCGAGCACCCACTGTACCTTTTATTCATATTTGTGTGCCCCAAACACTGGCACACAAAGCCAAACATACACAGAGAGCGACTTGTGCGGCTTTTGCTGGGCTTTTGCTCGAGTAGTTCAGTGTGGGGCTTATGCCAAAGGCCAAATGGAAAACCTGCTTTAAGAGCCAGTGAGAGAAACATACGAATCAGTCCGGCGACTACAAAGCCCAAATCCCCTCCATGGCCTCAGTTTGATGCTAAAGTCGTGTGTTGTCTCTGGGGTTTGATAAACTCTAGCAGGCCCGCAAATATCTGCTAATTAAATCAAAGCTAACGGTTGCCGTTTAACGGTTTTCACCCAGAAGACTTGGCCAAAATATCTAGTTCGCTGTTCTGTCTTGAGTTTTTTTTTGCTCAGATAGCATTGCCAATTTTGGGTGCTTGCCATTTTTGGGAGTAATTTTCTGTGTTGTTCCTTATCAACTAAAACAATAAGCAAAACTTTGATAAGACAAATGACACAGCGGGAAACATGATTCATTTGAGTGGTGAACATATAATAGGCGCGGACTTTGGAATTTACACTCAAATTAATCAATATATAGTAATCGTAATTACGAGTAATCGTAAATATTTAAAAATCTGCGAAGAATAAAGTGCAGTTTAAAATGCTCTACATTATTCAAATTGCTTAAATATTTATTATTTAAAGCTGTATTCGTGGATATGAAAGACGGTTTCTTCTAATATCAATTTATAAATTTCTTATTTCCCCTCTGTTAAATTGTCATCAACTTCTTTATCAGCTTACTCTTTTCCTTATCTGATTACTATTTACATAACATTTTTTTGTTTGGCTGTGCTGTTTATTCTTTAGACTCTTATTTCTTTTATCAATTGTGATTTTGCTGCTTATCGCAGCAAATGCAACTTTACCCATGGCAAATAAAATAAACAAACAGCATGTTATTTTATTTTCCACTTTTCTCCAACCCAGTTGCCATTTTCAATTAGTGTCTACAGCTGAGGGTCAACACGAAATGCTTTATAATTTTATTTCAACATCAGGTAACCGAGATCCCGAATCGCTGATAACAACTTTTTTTCCATTTTCAAATATTTAATGACCATAAAGCAGCAAAACCACACACGCCTGCTCTCTGCTGCCCTTTTTTTATTTGTCACTGGCTCGCCGGATAGATGCGAAACAAATTTTTGCAATTAGTGGATCGCTAATAAACCATAGTGGGCAACGAATAAATAAATGCGGCAAAAAAATAAACTCAAACAGCAGTTGGCATATTGACATATCGGTCGCATTCAAACTGAATTCCCACAGCTGCTGCCGATGCTCCCTTTTTGTGTCTTGTTTGCTGGGTTCACGTGCTTCTGGGCCGTTCTGGGCTTCATTTGCCGAATGCATTTCCACCGGCTGGCCGGGCATCATTTTTCAATTGCCCACCACCCCCTGCCGCTTTCCCAGAGCTTTCCCGGCGCTTTCCCAGCCACGCCTGGAGTGCCAGTTTGTCATGAGCGAAGCGGCCAGGTGTCGGTCTGCTCATCGCGCTTCCTGTGGCCCTTTACAACACTCCTAAAATAAGGAAACACTATTAACTAAATTATATTTACATTTAATTTAATGTAACTTAATTTATATTTAACTTATTATATCAGAATTCTGGTTATACATTAGGTATTATACAAATGTTGTTGGGAACCTGAAATACTATCTACTAATTTTTTGTTAAATTGATTTTCAAATATTTATTGCACCTACCAATTTTGTTCCGTAACTATTTGAAAATTACCAAGAAGCTCTACGTTTTTCCCATATTATTTTCTTGCCGTTTTCTTAGTTGTAATATTTTGTTTGAGTGCATCAATACGGCCCATTGCGGTTAACTCAGCCCAGCTTAGTTTTCGCCGCGGCTCTTGGGGATTGCAATTTGATTTGTGGGCGAGTCAGTCGCGGTGTGAAGACTTTGGCTAAATTGCTGTGAGACTTTACGCCAGACTTATGAATGAGTTTATTGTGCATTCTAACAACTTAACTGGGCCTTCAGAGGCTGCGACTGCACAGCCTGCTCCCCGGTTATATTTCACATTTAATTGTAACGACTTGAAGGTGTCAAGAAGTTAACCCAGCTCAAGACCACGGGAATGCTTTAAAGTGCATTGTTGCACTTTTGGCTGAGATAACAACGGCACTTTTATACCACAAATAACACGGAAGATTTATGCTAGAACTAAACTTTAAAAAGAATTCATTTGAAAGGAAATTCACGAAAATAACATATTTTATCCCATTTAATTCATCCCATGGCCTTTTCTACTTACTTTCTTTCCTGGTTAAGTGAGTCACCCGAATTAATTTCCATAAATATCTGCACTCAGGGCATTTAGTTTCCTTATTTGCACCAAAGTTCGCAGCTCATTTGGCATTGTACACCCGCATGTTGCATTATACACACATAACTCCACCATTTCCCAGCTAATTTGTCTTGAATTTCCCTGGCGCACACCTCACTTAAGTTTGCCTGCTCCTTTTTTCTGTTTTCTATTTTTTATTTTTTCTTTTCTTGCACTTTACTGCTTCCGCGCTAATTTGCTTAGCGTAATTTGCATTTCGCAAATGCCATTCGAGGCGTGTGAACAAAAAAAAAAAATAGATACAACAAGAGGGCAAACGCAGGGGGAAAAAAATGTAATTTGCTGTCAGACTTTAATGAATGGCCGGCCAGAAGTCCATGTTAAGCTCTGTTTACCGAATATTGAATATCCGCCCCCTTCGCCCTAATTGCTGCTAATTACGCGCATAAAATTCACCTCAACCCATTCCAAAATCGTCGGCGTCCATTCTGGCATTCTGTTTTATGTTCCCCGCTTCATTACGATTTTTATTGCTCAGAAAAGCTAAAAAAGTATGAAGGAAATAGAACTGAAGAAAGCGCTGAAAGGCCCGGAGTTCATTAGGAAGAAATGCATAACTCGAGGGGGCGAAATCTTTCGGGAGCATCTTTTTGATAAACTGGTCGATGCAACTGCTTCAAGTATTTCCATTTGAATTTCCACTTTACTTTACTCTGTTGGTTTTCGCCCCGGTTTTTTTTGTAAGTTTTTAAGGGGAAATCAAATGGCGCGTGGTCGCATAAAATTTGTTTTCTTTCAGTCGCTTGGTTGCTTGAGTCCTTCCGATTAGTGATGGAAACGTGACTAGAAGTAATTGCTTTTTCATTGAAGGTACACCTTAGTTCTTACTAATATTTTCAAAATATGCATACTACATAAATATACATACTACATAACTTAGGTAACATTTCCGATGCCACATTCCTTTGGAATGACCGAAACCTGGTTTCCAGATCACGAATTTCGTGAGCATGACTCACACTTATAGACCCAAGATCTCCAACCCAAAGAATCCACAGACTGTCCCCTTTTTTTTGAGGGGGGCGAATACCTCCTCTCATTAGGTGAAGCACAGTTTCCACTCGAATAACGCTGAATGTTCTGTGACGTATCGTGCGGAATCATCTCGGACATCATCGCCTAACAATTTCTCTCAATTTTTGTTTTTATTTCGCTTTTAATTGTCGCTCGCCTCGTTTTGCCTGTCAT